CAGTGGGTCGTCAAGTGTCAATATTGTTTACGCTGCTGATAGTGGTGGTGGTATACAACCAATATTGTTTACACTGCTGTGGGTCGTCAACCAGTGGGTCGTGTCAATATTGTGTACGCTGCTGATAGTGGTGGTGGTATACAACCAGTGGGTCGTCAAGTGTCAATATTGTGTACGCTGCTGATAGTGGTGGTGGTATACAACCAGTGGGTCGTCAAGTGTCAATATTGTTTACGCTGCTGATAGTGGTGGTGGTATACAACCAGTGGGTCGTCAAGTGTCAATATTGTTTACGCTGCTGATAGTGGTGGTGGTATACAACCAGTGGGTCGTCAAGTGTCAATATTGTTTACGCTGCTGATAGTGGTGGTGGTATACAACCAGTGGGTCGTAGTGTAGTGTGGTGGTATACAACCAGTGGGTCGTCAAGTGTCAATATTGTTTACGCTGCTGATAGTGGTGGTGGTATACAACCAGTGGGTCGTCAAGTGTCAATATTGTGTACGCTGCTGATAGTGGTGGTGGTATACAACCAGTGGGTCGTCAAGTGTCAATATTGTTTACGCTGCTGATAGTGGTGGTGGTATACAACCAGTGGGTCGTCAAGTGTCAATATTGTTTACGCTGTACAACCAGTGGGTCGTCAAGTGTCAATATTGTGACGCTATAGTGTACGTGGTATACAACCAGTGGGTCGTCAAGTGTCAATATTGTGTACGCTGCTGATAGTGGTGGTGGTATACAACCAGTGGGTCGTCAAGTGTCAATATTGTTTACGCTGCTGATAGTGGTGGCAACTAGATAGTGGTGGTGGTATACAACAACAGTGGGTCGTCAAAGTGTCAATATTGTTTACGTGGGGTGGTGGTATACAACCAGTGGGTCGTCAAGTGTCAATATTGTGTACGCTGCTGATAGTGTAGGTGGTGGTGGGTCGTCAAGTGTCAATATTGTGTACGCTGCTGATAGTGGGTCGTCGTCAAGCAACAGTGTCAATATTGTAGTGGTGGTGGTATACACGCTGCTGATAGTGTACGTGGTATACAACCAGTGGGTCGTCAAGTGTCAATATTGTGTACGCTGCTGATAGTGGTGGTGGTATACAACCAGTGGGTCGTCAAGTGTCAATATTGTTTACGCTGCTGATAGTGGTGGTGGTATACAACCAATATTGTGTACGTGGGTCGTCAAGTGTCAATATTGTGTACGCTGCTGATAGTGGTGGTGGTATACAACCAGTGGGTCGTCAAGTGTCAATATTGTGTACGCTGCTGATAGTGGTGGTGGTATACAACCAGTGGGTCGTCAAGTGTCAATATTGTTTACGCTGCTGATAGTGGTGGTGGTATACAAACCAGTGGGTCGTCAAGTGTCAATATTGTGTATTGTTTACGCTGCTGATAGTGGTGGTGGTATACAACCAGTGGGTCGTCAAGTGTCAATATTGTGTACGCTGCTGATAGTGGTGGTGGTATACAAACCAGTGGGTCGTCAAGTGTCAATATTGTTTACGCTGCTGATAGTGGTGGTGGTATACATAGTGGTGGTGGTCAATAATTTGTGTACGTACGCTGCTGAACAACCAGTGGGTCGTCAAGTGTCAATATTGTGGCTGATAGTGTCATACAACCAGTGGGTCGTCAAGTGTCAATATTGTGTACGCTGCTGATAGTGGTGGTGGTATACAACCCAGTGGGTCGTCAAGTGTCAATATTGTTTACGCTGCTGATAGTGGTGGTGGTATACAACCAGTGGGTCGTCAAGTGTCAATATTGTTTACGCTGCTGATAGTGGTGGTGGTATACAACCAGTGGGTCGTCAAGTGTCAATATGGTGGTGGTATACAACGTTTACAATATTGTTTACTGCTGATAGTGGTGGTGGTATATACAACCAAATGGGTCGTCAAGTGTCAATATTGTTTACGCTGCTGATAGTGGTGGTGGTGGTATACAACCAGTGGGTCGTCAAGTGTCAATATTGTTTACGCTGCTGATAGTGTACGTGGTATACAACCAGTGGGTCGTCAAGTGTCAATATTGTTTACGCTGCTGATAGTGGTGGTGGTATACAACCAGTGGGTCGTCAAGTGTCAATATTGTTTACGCTGCTGATAGTGGTGGTGGTATACAACCAGTGGGTCGTCAAGTGTCAATATTGTTTACGCTGCTGATAGTGGTGGTGGTATACAACCAGTGGGTCGTCAAGTGTCAATATTGTTTACGCTGCTGATAGTGGTGGTGGTATACAACTAAGTGGGTCGTCAAGTGTCAATATTGTGTACGCTGCTGATAGTGGTGGTGGTATACAACTAAGTGGGTCGTAAAGTGGGACTATTGAACGCTTTAACCCCTGGTCCACCCGTGTGTGTGTGCGTACGTGCGAGCGCGTGTGTATGGGAGAGTGTTTGTATCTGTCCGTCCGTGTCGTGTGAGTAAGTTATATTTTGAGGAAAAAAGCTTTAAAAGTACTTATCTCTTCAAGAAGAAGTATGGTCTGACAAAACCAGAAGGGTCTGATCCTAATCTAGGGTATCGAATCCATATCCCAAGATTCTAGAACTCATAATGAATTAATTTCGAACAGCCTAAAGGGCCACCAGGTGTACTGCTTTTGTCCTAGTCAAATCCATAGACAGAAACTTCTCTTACCATGTATTTCTTTGCAATGACTGGATAGTGAACTTTCACATACCCATTGCATAATTCAATGAAAACTGGACGTAATCTTAAAATGATTCCAGGTAAATACATTAGCCAAATATCTGCAACCTACTCTCTCCCGAACCAGTACTGCCTGTCTAAATGTGTGCTGGAAGACGTTTACATGTCCATACTTGTCCATTGGAGGGGCGGTGGGGTAGCCTAGTGGTTACAGCGTTCGCTCGTCACGCTGAGGACCCGGTTTCGATTATCAACATGGGTACAATCTGTGAAGCCCATTTCTGGTGTCCCCCACCGTGATATTGCTGTAATATTGCTAAAAGCGGCGTAAACCTAAACTCACTCACTCACTTGTCCATTGGAATAATTTAGAGAAATAATTACAATTTCCCTACAGTAACACATTGTTTAGATAAATAATTACATTTTCCCTACAGTGACACATTTGTTTAGAGAAATAATTACAATTTGCCTACAGTGACATATTTGTTTAGATAAATAATTACATTTTCCCTACAGTGACACATTTGTTTAGATAAATAATTATATTTTCCCTACATTGACACATTTGTTTAGAGAAATAATTACAATTTCCCTACAGTAACACATCTGTTGAGTGAAAAGATTACAATTTCACTAGAGGAACATATCCTGCTCAGAGAAATGATTACAATGTCACTACAGGAACACATCCTGCTAAGCGAAATAATTACAATTTCACTAGAGGAACACATCCTGCTCAGAGAAATAATTACAATTTCACTACAGGAACACATCCTGCTCAGAGAAATAATTACAATTTCACTAGAGGAACACATCCTGCTCAGAGAAATAATTACAATTTCAATACAGGAACACATCCTGCTCAGAGTAATAATTACAATTTCACTACAGGAACACTTACTACTTAGGACTTATGAAATGAAAACTTAACTAGCAAGTTAGCAAGTCGGGATGGGTTAGCTGATTAGTTTTTCCCCTGAAGTAGATGACAATGTTTTGCTATGAGCATCATTTGAAACTGTAACCAGCAGAAATAGCATACAGGGCCTAAGCGCTTAAGCCTTTGGCTTTACACAGCAACGTTAAACAGGGCTCGCTGAAACGTCTCTGGATACAGGTTTCTGTCCTCCGAACGCAAATCATCAGAGCAAACTTGTGAGAAAGACGTTACAGTCAGTGCAAAACACCGGTTTACCAATGACATACAACTATTTATATAAAAAACTTGATACACCCAGGTATATGAATAGATCAAATGGGTCGATGTTTGAAGAAGTGACAGTGTTAGGAATACAGTTTACTGTGAAAGTCTTATTTAACATTACCTCGACGGGCCAAATAAGAAGCATTGTGGAAATTGTCAATACAGGACACAAACTTCTGCGACTTCACCTTAAAAGCCGAAACGGGTTTCCATACGCCCACCACTAAACATTCTCCACACGCAGATTATCGTCGCTGTTAAGAAAACACTTTCAGTAATGGCTATTTCATTCAACAATAATAAACTGTTCTAATTATAGTGGTGAAAGCTGTTCTTCATCAATATAATTCTATATTTGGTGTGAAACTACATTTATGAATGAACATTGTTTGCATAGCGGCTTCCTCCCTCGCTACAGACAACAAAAAGAATAATGGCTTAATTGAGGACAGCAGTACTTCAGTGAGAAGGAGTAATTGATACATCAATCACAACCAACCCAATGTGTTGCCGCATTTATCGGATATTACGTAGTTGACTGGTATTTCTAGAAACTCCTTGGACTTTTTGCAATAAGAGAAGTAAAAGCGAAAAAAACCTTTCCATATTCATAAAACATCTCTTCTTTAGAATCGATTGTACCATTCCGACTATATCATGAGCAAATGTTCGGGAATCACTATTAACTAGAGATAATACAGGTGTTCGTAAAAAGCTGAGCGTATCCTACTCTGCTACTGCATCTGTCACAAACACATGCAAAGGCAAATCAATTAGTTCATCAGGAAATATACAGGTCTGTATGGTCCAAACCAAAATTGGGAGTTGCATCTGAAATCATCAATCACTCTCAGTTTGGGATAAAGATTATCATATACGTGAAATAATGCAAATACCTACCGATCTACGAGTGAGTGAGGAAGAGAGTTTGGTTCTACGCAGCATTTAGCAATATTCCAGCAATATCACGGCGGGGGACACCAGAAATGGGCTTCACACGTTGTACCAATGTGGGGAATCGAACCGGGTCTTCGGCGTGACGAGCTAACACTTTAACCACTAGGCTACCCAACCGCCCCACCGATCTACGAAGCTCATAGACAAGGATCAGGACTAACACTACACTAAAATACCATTCCTGGTGTGTCTCTATATTCGTATATGTATCATATAAGGCCACAACAAATGGATAATTTTTGTACGTCGGTTTCTCAGACTGACCAAACTACAAATAGACAAAACAAATCGGTTTACTGCCGTCTGTCGGGATGTGTTGCATGTAGAACCATCAGTACTTCTGAACCTGCCAGACTGTGAGTGAGTGACCAGTTCCATGACTACCCTATAGGATGACTTTGTGGAGATGGCTCGATCCCACGTGATGTCAAGTCGAAGCGCCAGCCACACCTACAGGAAAGGGGTAGTCTCCTGCAGCCATGAGTGTTTTTCCGAAGTTGTGGCAAACTCATTTCTATCTTCTTTCGACTGCATGTCAACCTGATCTTGTAGTCTCCTCCCTACAATGCAATGTTACCCTAAGAATTCGATCCATATTTGACAATGTTAAATATCATGAAAATCAGTAATACCATTACGAATACTCACCATCATCATGTTGAACAAAGTATTAAAGTGATGTCGTTTGTCTTTAAATCTGGTCATGACATTACCATGTTAAAATAGTTCAATATTATCAGAAACACTGCCGACAAAAATCACACAAATCTGCTAATGGCAAAGCTGCATCATCATCTCAATATCAAAACAATCAGAAAAGGTATTTGCCTGTTTAATAGTCATTTCTGATCCATGAATTTTACAAACATGTTTGTTTGGGAGCGTGTGTGTAATAATACTTCTGTAATCAATCACATACTTCTTCATGTTTATTCATAAGAGTTCGCATAATTTAAAGTTTTTTAAAAGAGTCAATATTGTAAATGTGTTCTTATCTGACCTCCCAATATCCCGACCTCTAGTAATAAAACAACTTAACGTGATAAGTGTATGTGTAATACTAGGCTATTCATTTAAAGGATGGCTGTGTATTTGCAGTCGATCAAGCCGTGAGTCTTAAGATATCAGCAGCACACAGTCGATAGGGGGAGCTGCCAGTATGTTTGGTTAGCCAATCATGACCTCTACTGTCATATCGACTGTCTACTTTGACGTCCGCGTGTCGACTGTTCCCGTAGAGGACAAGCAAGGCTGCCCATTGGCTGGTTATTTAAACAAGGAATTCAAGTTAGTACGAATGAAGGCAGTATCGCAACATTTCCACTGAACCAGAAACAGACAATGCGGATGTGTGTGTACATGTAGGGGAGTGGTCTGAATATATAAAACATGTTAGAAGTATTGACCTGAGGCGATTATTTCCCCGTGTAATAGAACAATTTCAGCATCGGTCACCATATCGCAAACATCCATAAACTTTAAAACAAGTAAGAGTTGCGCATCTAGAAGCAATTTTACATGCATTCATTTTTGTACATTTAACTTTCATTTTGTCATGTAATCACATACTCGGCAATATAACATCAAACTAACAACAATGAAAAATAATTTAGATACAATCTAACAAGTTTTGATTATATTTTCCACTTCAAACAGAAAATACTCTGGTTGTATTTTGACGATATGCACGAACCCATACACGTGTTAAAAGGTATAGCTTGTATTGCTATGTTTTAAAAAGTCACATACAGTCCCTACGCCAGCATGGTATACCGACAATGTCACTACAGCATGCCAGTGGAGAGTCCAGCCCTGTGTTGCTACCCTACTCAACCACCTCAACCCAAAGCCGGGATTAGGATGTACTCGGTTCAGAGTAACCACAAACACTTCTAGGCCTGCTGTGTTGTCAGGCAGTTGGTCACAACTTAATAGTGTCCGAAATTATGCTGAGAGACCACGTGTATAAAATGTGTGTTCAAATCCTGTGTAAAAATGCAAATAAAATCAGCACAACTTTTCCACCATATTTGACAGGGTACCAATATTATCAAACTTCAATATATGCGGCAGTGTCACTGTAGGCGCAAGTTGTCAGTAATGATATCTCATAACAATATTCTATTGACGACCAAATTAGCTTGAATGAGTTTTCCATTAAGGCCCAGAATGAAGATATTGCTTTGAAAAATATATTTGTTGGTTGAAAGTTTGCTGTTACATTAACCTCGTCAATGCATGCATATAAGACGGAATACTAGTATAGACTCCTAAAATAACAAAATAAAGTTGTGCACACATATGACATGCTAACGAATAATGTACTCATGAAACACGGGCAGAAAATAATATACATATATACAGATAATGTGCAAATATATGACACACAAACAGACATGTATACATGTATATACAAACAGATAATGTGCATATATATATATGGAATACCAGCAGATAATGTGCACTTACATGATACACACACGGACAATGAGATAATGTGCATGTATGCGTGTCAAATATGTGTGATATGTGTGTGTACCGATATATATATATATATATATATATATATATATATAATATATATACACATATAAACACATATTGTAGCACATATATGGGGACCACAGACAGATATTGTATGAGACATATTTGACACACAGACAGATGATGTATCACACATATTTGACACACATACAGAAAATGTATCACACAGTTTTGCACGCATACAGATAATGTTTCACACATATTTGACACACATACAGAAAATGTATCACACATATTTGACACACATACAGATAATGTATCACACATATTTGACACACATACAGATAATGCATCACACATATTTGACAGACATACAGATAATGCATCACACATATTTGACACACATACAGATAATGCATCACACATATTTGACACACATACAGATAATACATCACACATATTTGACACACAAACTGATAATGTATCACACATATTTGACACACATACAGAAAATGTATCACACGTATCGATTTTGACAGACATACAGATAATGTATCACACATATTTGACACACATACAGATAATGCATCACACATATTTGACACACATACAGAAAATGCATCACACATATTTGACAGACATACAGATAATGTATCACACATATTTGACACACATACAGATAATGCATCACACATATTTGACACACATACAGATAATACGTCACACATATTTGACACACAAACTGATAATGTATCACACATATTTGACACACATACAGAAAATGTATCACACGTATTGATTTTGACAGACATACAGATAATGTATCACACATATTTGACACACATACAGATAATACATCACACATATTTGACACACAAACTGATAATGTATCACACATATTTGACACATACAGAAAATGTATCACACACATTTGACACACATACAGATAATGTATCACACATATTTGACACACATACAGAAAATGTATCACACACATTTGACACACATACAGATAATGTATCACACATATTTGACACACATACAGATAATGTATCACACACATTTGACACACATACAGATAATGTATCACACATATTTGACACACATACAGATAATGCATCACACATATTTGACACACATACAGATAATGTATCACACACATTTGACACACATACAGATAATGTATCACACATATTTGACACACATACAGATAATGTATCACACACATTTGACACACATACAGATAATGCATCACACACATTTGACACACATACATAAAATGTATCACACACATTTGACACACATACAGATAATGTATCACACACATTTGACACACATACAGATAATGCATCACGCATATTTGACACACATAGAGAAAATGTATCACACACATTTGGCACACATACAGAAAATGTATCACACACATTTTAAACACATACAGATGATGTATCACACACATTTGACACACATACAGATAATGTATCACACACATTTGGCACACATAGAGAAAATGTATCACACACATTTGGCACACATACAGAAAATGTATCACACACATTTGACACACATACAGATAATGTATCACACACATTTGGCACACATACAGAAAATGTATCACACACATTTTAAACACATACAGATAATGTATGTCACATCTATACGATACACAATACTGTACGTGACGTTCCGCTAACATCTCCATGTTTCTCCAATACACACAAAGAACAAAGACGAAGACACGATTGTATATTGATTAGATACCAATGCGTGACCTACTGATTTCCATTATATCACCACCCACGTAGCATGGGAGACAATTAAGTACGTACAAATGTACTAGTTTTACCATAGACACACGGGATTGTCACAGTGACACACTCACCTGTCACAGTGAGTCAGTGTAAAAGTGCATCTGTGTGCTGTGTGGCGTATACTATATACACTCGAGAAACTGTATTATAAATGCAACTTGGTACACAAGCAATTAAAGATTCACGACTTGTTAAATTTCCGGTTTGGAAAGACGTCGAAATATTACCATCAACTAAACAGCCTTTGATGTGCCACTAAAAAGCGAGTGTCCCGGATGTAATCGGTTACGGCGCTGTCTATACTCAGAAACGAGCACGGTCGCTGTGTCACGTGACCAATCTCGATACCACCAGGTAATACTGTGATCACTGCACAATAAGTTGTTGTGAGATGTATGTTACAACTACAAGTGTCGAAACCTCGACTACTACCGTGCTACGATACCTGTGCACTTCTCCACCCTAACTCGTTCAGCGTCTTACAGTGGCGTGTCCGGCCAGCACACTAGCCAAGATAACAGTTACAATTACAAGTTTGTGGCTTTCGTCAGTTGCCTTGTCGATGTATCTTGACGAAGCAGTGTGTTAATGTACGTATACCTACATTCAAAAATGCGATTTCAAGAGGAAAACTATAATGCTACACAGGGTTTTCAATCGATTTGGCTGAATTCATCGCATGGTCTTTTGTGATAGGCACATGTCAGGGTAGTGATTGACAAGCCTGAAACCCCGCCCCCTTTAGCCGTCATGCATTCAATGCGATCATTGAGGAAACCATGCCGAAGAGAGTACCACAGTATCATAGTCAGTGACGGTGATGTTGACTCGCTAGATTCAACCACGGGCGGGTGTAAGCCCTTGTTTTTTCAACCATCTTACTTTCCCGCGCTTTGGTTTTAATATTGTTGCTCAAACTTCAAGTTTTGACTTGGATCGAGCCATTGGTGGGCCTTTGAATGTATCCAAACCATGAATGTAGATTGGGGGAGCTGTCTTGTGGTGTTACTTGTGTGGTGGTTAGGGACTGGACCTTCTCACGGACAAACGGATAATTCCAACAGGGGGAACACTAGTGTACTAGTACCATCTCCGGAAACAAGCCGTAGAGGAGCTAGGAGCCACCACTTAGAAGGTAAGAGAATCGTGCCGTGTTTTGCTCACCTCCAAATGTCAATAGTACGGGCTACAACCGCTGTCCAAACAGTGGTAGGGCAAGGTTGTATACTATGTGCAATGTTTTTTATTGCGGTTTCAAACTTTTTGCATTATTTCCCCGTGCACACTGGTGAAATTTGTGCATGGGGTGTATAGAGCTCGAACAAGCGAAAACATTCACCATACCTCGGAGATCGTTATATCATGGGTCTCCGTTTGTGCGTATTTTAAAACTCAAGTTTGTGCACGTGGGCTGTATATTGAACCACGAGCGGGGTTAATTTTGATCAATTTAATCTGTGTGTGTCATTGGGTGATAGAAGGTGCAGGAAGGCTCAGCACTGTCCCGCTTTCATTCCAGGTAGAGCTGAGTCTGACAGTACAGGTAAATCCACAAAATGAACACCTGTGTTGCCGGACGGCTGTAGGGGCTATCGCAACCATGGCTTCATGCTCTGTCCCTGATCTTTAATCAGAGCCTGCACAAAAAACACAATTTACATATGCAAAGACAGCATGGTATTAAAAGCTGAATACCCATTCAGAGGTATATGTGACTATCGCTGTGGTGTAGACCGCTCAGCCTGAAGGCAGTTTTCTGTATCTCCGCTCACAATCTCGCCATTATTATGCGATTGATTGCCCTAACATGCAGGGTCTGTCTTTAAACTCGCTTGTCGTTATTCGTACAAGTAACTCTACTGGCCTAGCCGTGTTCCTACGACAAGGGTTTACACATTGGGCCTGGACTAAATATATGCGGATCATAGGCATGGATGGGGATAAGTCAAAGCTATAAGTCTATATTAGCACGTGATGCGTGTACGTCTAATCTGTGCAAAGCATCAACTGCGTGTCAAAGTAAGACTGGGAGGTCACTGATACTGCTTCGTGCTTCATGGACCTGAATCGTTGCCTCCGCTATCTATGAATGAACGCTATCGCTAACTTTCTGAACAAGTATGTGACCTTGACACCGTGTATTTAAACTATACATTTAGAAACAGTTTAGGTTCTCTATAATAAGATACCTAAGACACGTGACTATATTCCCTACACTGTTCTTTACTTTATCAAACAGTATGGTTCATATTATCTTCAGCGTAGCTGTTTTGGTCTTGAGTCGGACGAAAACAAATCAAGATTTTCCGCTCAAACTTTATCGTCGTGTGATTGGATAACGCAATAGCCGGCTACTTAAACAATGTGAATGAGTGTGAAAGCAATAACTTCGTATGGTGTTTTACAAAGATTACAGTCTTCATTCACAAACATAGTTGAACCAATCCTGTTACATGATGCAATCCCACTCGGACCCATTTCTGTTACTTTTCACTCACTGTGTACCAGTATTTTTACATCTAACCAATGTCCTGGTGACGTGTTTTCCACTTGACGATCACATAGATATTGTAGTAAAACAAGGACCTTTCTCTGATTGTTTCACAATTTCAACGCCTCGTGGCCCTCGACCGCTTTGTGTAGACTCACTGTTAAATGAGTCATGGTTATAGATTGAGAAATCCGACGTGAAGCAAAGGTTACACAAATACAATTACGCGTGCAGTGATAGACGCAGAAGAAAATATTGACTTAAGAAGAACAATATGTGTATAAGGATATTTTTTTATTTTCTAATTTCATGTGTTTTCAAGTTACTCATGAGGACATGCATACGCTTTACCATATTTGTTTCTTGTTTAACGCCGAATATTCCTGACATATGACGAGACTCTAGAAACAACTGATTTTGGATCAGACCAACTAATGATTGATATCATGAGCAAAGATCTACAGTGTCGCATGCAATCAACCGAATGATCGATTCTTTACGACAGGGGATCAGTTTCAACGACAGATCCGCACTGGAGGTTGTACAAAGACTTTTAGTATAAACGAAGGGGAGGAATCGAGGTCAGCCCTTCCTGCTTTTGCTCAGTTGTGTATCATCATATACCAACATGATTCAGATGTATGGTAAATTAAGATCCCATTCTTCTTATCCTGACAAAATACTGAACAAAATAAGTTAGGCATCATGAATATTTTTGCTGATATTTCCTAGTGAAGTCGGGACACAAAACGATAATATGTTCATAAAGTACAAATTTTTATTTAGTACATAAGTGGGTAAAACGATAATATGTTCATAAGTCCAACTTTTTGTTTAGTATAAAAGTGGGTGAAAGGTTCCTATGGTGCCCTTCTATGAATGTATATTCATTTTCAGATATGTCCAAGTTCATTATAAACATGTGCCCATGCTGAAAGGATTTCCACAACAATACGATGAAACCGCAATATACATGTACTTTATGAAAGCACATTTTACACAGCGCGATATACTGTGGTAGAGATATATATTTCCGAATCGTGGGGTATTAAAACTTCTTGCCTTCAGTGTTGGTAAAAGTCTTGTTTCACACGGAACACCTGGTGTCATAACACGTCATAAATATATGAGTGAGTGAGTTTAGGTTTACGCCGCACTCAGCAATATTCCAGCTATATGGCGGTGGTCTGTAAATATTCGAGTCTGGAGCAGACAATCTAGTGATCAACAGCATGGGCATCGATCTGCGTAATTGGGAACCAATGACATATGCCAACCAAGTCATCGAGCTTGACCACCCGATCCCGTTAGTCGCCTCTCACGACAAGCATGGGTTACTGAAGATCAATATTCTAACCCGGACCTTCACAGGTATCATAAATATATGACGTTCGTGTTATTGAACTGTGATGTTGACAATGTCAACAGCGTTATGACACCGACGTTCACGGGTCGCATTCCATATGGGTTAGGATTGTTTTTCAGTGTGCACATACTAAAACAATGACATGGTTAATTCATATTAACAATTCCGTCTTGTTCCAGGAAGTTATTGGTTAAAGGCGTCAAGTCATGCAATTTTTGTTATATATGCACATGCATATCTACATAATTAGGTATTAAACTAAGAGTGTTTTTCAGTTTTGTTTAATTACATGCAATTTCAGATTACGTGAGTTATACTGCATCTCTAGTGTGCAATTGACAGTAGTATTGTATACAGCAACATAAATCACAGAGAGCAAGGCTAGGCTCTGAGCAAATGTCGCCTTTGATATATGACTTTTCGAGACTTGACCTGCTTTACCTAGTCGAGGCACAACCATTGATGACTAACTCAGGTAAAAAAACAACACACCGTGTTATTTTTCATTTTCGTCAGCTTCTGAGATTAACGGGGCTCATTGATGAATGTTAACAAATGTTGTTTTTTTATGCAGACATTTATATCACCGCAATATTGCGACATTCAGTATTGTTTCTAATCTACCAACGTTTTAACATTGCAAAATACTTGCCCCGGTATTTCTAATCCCTCTAAAGTATATATAGCTCAAGAGTAGGAAGATACAAAATAGGTCACAGAACGTCTCTACATACTAATATGACTCATGAAACGTGTCAAGACACTAACTAGGTCACAGAACGTGTCAAGACATTAACTAGGTCACAGAAGTGTCAAGACACTAACTAGGTCACAGAACGTATTGGACCACAATAACATGGTTAAACCACCAAGACACTAATTAGGTCGCATAACGTGTTAAGACCCTAACGTAGGTCACAAAACGTGCTAAGACACTAACGTGTCAAGGCACTGACATAGGTCACAGAAAGGGTCACGTAACTAACGTGGTTCAGAAAACGTGCCAGGACACTGACAGAGGTCACCAAACGTGTCAGGACACTAACACAGGTCACCAACATGCCAAGTGACTACTACAGGTCACAAAATGTGACGCGACGCAAACGTATATCTCACAAATATTAAACCTTTCCATCAACATAATACACTTTAATTCAAGCTTTCTCGGACTGATTCTTGGGTACAATGTGTGAAGCCCATTCTGGTGTCCACCGCCGTGATATTGCTGGAATATTGCTAAAAGCGGCGTAAAACCAAACTCAGTCAGCAGTTGGACTGATTCTGACTTCTCTAACGTAATCCATATATGAAATGAAATAGAACACTTATATTTTTGAAAAGTTATCATTATTAGAAAAAAATGAAGCTATACAGAAGAACAGATTTCACAGTACGTAATAAAACAACATCAAAACAAAAAAAATAAATGTTAGATCCTTTTGTTTTTGCAAGACACGGACTGTCGACGGCACAGTATGTTGTTTTTAGCTTTCAGTAGATCACATACAGCTGATTTCTATAGCTACCATCTATGTCTTTCAAAAAACATACAGTCAGGTTATCACGACCGCGAACAATATAACATTTTTCATTTCAAATATTGAAACTTCTATTTATCATTACTGTAAATAACATTTCAATAAGTTAAAAGCATTCAATATTCGCGTGACTTGGTGCATAAACACGCTGCCTTCAATATGGCAGGGCCTTTCTGTTGCACAATGTACGTCTACTTATCTGACATATGCTGACTTTCAAACAAACAAACTGCTTATGTTCCTTCGTCACACTACGGAGTAGAAGGCACACGTGCCCTCGACATCATTTAACTCCCCCTTTGAACCTGATGGGAAGTTATCAAACCGTGTCTTGGTAATAGCTAGCAATCTATTCCAAGTATGTCTTCGCAGTCTTGCATTTAAACCTTTGAATTACTGAGGGCACCTTGCAATGTAATTACATACATAATATGCAGGTATGGTATGTGTTTCCAAGCAAACACCGATTGACTCGGGCAGTATTTACCTAATCACAAGAGTTTAATTATAAATTGGAAAATCCTATCAATTACTATATACAATCACACAACCTTTGTATACAGTCTTTCTGATACTGGGGATCACTGCACATGAAGTCATTTCACCGTTGAAAGTGACGCTCTTCTAACTGGTCCTCCGATTGTTACCTTAACCTAGGATGCAACTGTAATGAAAATACCCGTGAAATGAAAGACTTCTTGTTACTAATAGTTATGTGCCAGAAAATAGTTGCTTATGTT